GTGCTAATGTAAGGTGCCATCTGCTTTGCAAACCTCGTTTCCTGATGTGACCGAGACAGTTCAGAAGATGCAGCTAAAGTGCCTCTTCCCCTCGGGTCCTCAGCTCTCTTCTTGGTTCAACTCTGGATCAATCTGGGGTTACAAGGGCTTTCAGTGAGACCCCAGGTCATTTCTCTGAGGCAGGGATTAAGTTCTGCTTTCTTCAACACGTCCGTCAGGGCCAAAGTAGTGGGGTCGATTCTTGCTCTTCGCCCACAGCCTCGATGGAACTTTTCTTAACTTGGGATTGCTTCGCTCTTAGTTTGGTCCGTCACTTCAGTTCAAACGGGCTTGGATGGGATTGCTAATTTCATCACATTGTCAGGATTATGACTTTCGATTCAATCTGGGAATGCCTGGGATTACAAGTGTCTCAGGGTATTAGGCCTCCAGGCCATTTATCATGAGCTGGGACTGCATCATATTCTTCTCAATTCGGCTGACGGGGTTAAGTGGGGTTTCTTCTCACTCTTTTGCCCAGGGCCCCGAAGTTTCAAGTTTCAAGTTTCAAGTTTCAAGCTTCTTCTTGGGGTAGTTGGGCGATCAGTTTGCTTCTTCACTTCAGTACAAATGGGTTTGGCCTGGGATTGTTAATTCCACTTCGCTGGCCAGGACGATGACTGCCGTCCGACCCCTGATAAAGTGCATCTCTTTTCTCTATCTCTCCATCTTTTGAATCCACATCTTTCGGTTGTCCTGGTGTCCTGTTTGCTTCCTGTAGTCATTTTGGTTCAATTCGCTTTGCCCGTTCTGCTCCAACCCCTTCTCAAGTTATCTGGGAACACACTCTCATGCTTGCCCCTCAGAGGGTCGTCAGGCCATGGAATTCAAAGTCTCTCCAGTGCTGTATCTTCGAGGCGTGGGCATCCGTCTGCCCACGTGCACTGGCAATCGAAAGTTCCGAGATCGTTCCTGTAAATTCAGGATCATACAACCCACGGAAATGCGTCACACTCCATATGTATGAGAAGGGGCGCGAATTCGAGATACCCCTCAGGCAGCTATGGAATCTCTTTGAGGAATTTTTCTCAAGCAAGGCATGCAAGGACCTTATTGGGATCGTGGGAATTGCAGTACGCTCTATGTCTTTTGTACAGATTAAGACAATGTCATACAAGGGCGCAGTATTCTACGACAACCGCTGGTCAGATCCTGGGAATTTCATCTACACTGTCTGGTGGAATATTTGGGGTCAAATGGCCAGGTATCTTCAAAGACGACAACCTACCAGTGCCTCGTCCAAGTCCATGGAGGAGCTTCGCTCAGTTGCTGGTCGTGTCACCGATGCACAGAGGATGGTCCGAGAGCGGTGGAACAGGGAACCCGACACTTCTCGATGGCTAGAGCTTATTGGAGATTTGATGGAGTTAGGGCTGGGAGCGGGGTATGTTGAACCAGATCAGTTCTGGAACATTATTCAGGGGATTTCTCCTATCATCTGCCCCATTCGGTCTATTTTGACGTTTGCTGATCAACATGGGTCTTTTGCTAGGACCGGGAAAGACCGTCGCCTTTTTCGCGGCCCATGTGCACCTCACACTCGGAAGTTTGCCGTGGCAATGTTTCACGGAATGCAAGTGCACAAATTTAATGTTACGGAATCTTCAGAGGTCTGGGTATCTTACCTAATTGCGGCCTCAGTGAACAGGCTCCAATACTAATGGAGCGGGGGTATTTGACGCCCCACGGAATTTGCATTTGGGTCTGTATCGAGACCTCTTTGTGTTCTCCTCTCTCCTCCTTGCCTCCCACCTAGGGGATTGGCTGACACCAGGAGATGTCACTTGTGCGATTCTATCTGGGACCCGCCTGGTCCATGCGATCTTAGGGACACCGTGGCTTCGCAACAATCCATCCTTCCTCAGGATGCCTACGTGTTCTGGGACTCGAGTCTGTTCTCCTCCCTTGGGGTTTGGGGGGGTGGCCCCCCTCCCCTTCCCTTGCCTCCTGTCGGCTCCTACAGTCTCGGGCTCAAGCTTTCAGTATGCTACTTCCCAAGGCATCGGACCCTCACGTTATCTTTCAGGGGAAGCTTTGCAGGTCTAAACGCAAAGTCTGCTTCCTGTCTAAACAAGATCTTGAGGCACTCTCATACTGCTCTACGCTGCTATTCCAAAGGGTGGTCAAGTTGCCAGCTCGGTTTCTTGTACCATCGGACCTTGGTGGTCCTCATTTCACTTATGACTGGTGCAAAATCCCGCTTTTCACAGCTTGTCGGGACAGCGGCTTTAAGGGACTGTATGTCAACGTTCGGGGTCCCGACGAAAGGGTTCGGAGAGTTCCTTGGAAAGAACTGGCTGCTGGTCAGTAGCCGTTTCGCCTCAAATGCTGACGGGAACTCTCGTCCGAGACGGCTGGGAAACATCCACATCCATATCCAATTCCAGGGGATGGCCAAACGCAGCCTTCCAGTCAAGCTAGCCGCCAAGAAGCGTCTCAAGTGGACACACGGCTCAGGAGGAATGTGGAACTACTGTGAAGAGGAAAAAGTCTACACCAAAGTCTGGTATACGGAGTACTATGACACGTGGTTCGACCCCGAATCGGGCTGGCCTCACCCAGTGGTATGGTACCTATCTGATTACTGGTGGGACGGAGACTTCTTTGTGGAAAAGTGGCGCTGGAAGTACCCGTGAATGCAATTCCTGGGACTCCGACAGACTAAATCCCTTGGCGTCTGCGGTGCATGGGCCTGCGGCTTTTTGGAGGACTCTCAGTATCCCTCAATCTCCTATGCATGTTCTTCAACGTTGTTGGTTGGCAAAATACAAAAGGTTATAAACAGATCCATCTTGCGCCCTCCATACTTGTTTGAATTCAACCTTACTCCATTGGTCTTGATATGCCTGGGGTGGGTTGTCACGGTTGAGTTCTCACTCGGCTTTGACATTCCATTTTGTATGCCTCCGTATCTTCTGGGTTCATTGCGTGCTTGGGACATTCAGTTTCTATTTTAGACTTTCGTTCAGTACATATATCCGTCTTGGTTGCTACTTATGTTCAATGGGTTTCATGGGACTCAATGAAAGATTTCTTTACTTCTTGCTATTTCAGACCTTGGGACCATATGCCCCCAAGATTGGCTTCAAGAGCTACTCAAGCCACTCAAGATTGTTGATCAATTTGAGCATACTCCTTTATCTTGCATTACGTTTCTCATTTTTCTCTTCTTCATTCAAAGCAAGAGAGACCTTGTGGTGGGATTCATTTGGGACATCGGACAATCTATCATTCATGATTTCTCTCAGTATCATGGGTTTCAATCCTGGGCTGGGCTTCACCTTTCTTCTGCTTCATCTTTCTACCGCCTCTCCTCCCGCCTCCCTCTTTCTCTACCGTACGCATTTGGCGTATTGGTGGCTTCTCAGGTTTGTGTTTTGGGAGAACCGACCTTTCAAGGCGCTTCATCATCATCATCATCATCTGTCACCTCCTGCTACCTTCTCTTGCTTTCCTTTCCTTTCCTCCCCCTCCTCCTCGTCGTTCATGCCTTTCTACCTGCCTCCTCCTCCTCCTCCTCCTCCTCATCCTCTCTCCCCCTCCTCCGCCTTATCCTCCTCATCCTCATCCTCCTCCTCAGTCATGTGTTTTCCTGCGGCCCACGCGGCTGCTGCCCTGATGCGGTCTCTTGCCGCATCGCGGTGCTCAGAGAGCTCCAACGCGAACGGCGCGGGGAGCAGTGGCAGAGGCAGATGAGGAGGAGGAGGAGGAGGTTGAGGAGGGAGGATGGGAAAAAGGAGACAGGAGAAGGGAGGAACGCGGTGCACCGTCTCTTCGAGACGAGGGCTCAACGCCACAGGATGGTTGGGCACTACTTGTTGTTTTAGGTTTACGTTGAGATATGTCCGAGGCCTTCACTCCACGCGGATTTGGCGCTTAACCACTGTCCTACGCCGAGCCCCTTCCCTCCAACAGCGATCCCCGATCCTTGATCCTCGATCCTCGGCCTCCCTCCTGGCTCCTCCTCCTCCTCCTCCTCCTGCTCCTCATCCTTCTCCCCCTCCTCATCCTCCTCGTCCTCGGCCTCGTCCTCCTCCCCCCCCTGCTCATCGTACTCCTCCCCTTCCTCCTCATCCCCATCCTCCTCCCCCCTGTCTGGAGGAGGCCTCCTTGGTGGTGTTGGCGACGGTTCTGCCCCCCCCCCCCCCCCCCCCCCCCCCCCCCCCCATCTCCTGGAAGTTCGGCCAGGCGCGCTGGTTCGTGAGAGTCGGCGGTGTGCCGAGGGGCCAGGGGGAAGGATGGCACCCTGGGGGGCAGGGTGCAACTCCTCCTCCTCGTTATCCCCCTCCTCCTCCTCCTCCTCCTCCTCCTCCTCCTCCTCATCCTCATCCTCGTCATCCCCCTCCTCCGCTTCCTCCTCCTTCTCCTCCTCCTCCTCGTTTTCCTGTTCCTCCTCCTCTTCCTCATCCCACTCCCCCTCCTTCTCCCCCGACTCCTCCTGCCCCATGCCCATGCTCCTGCCCCTGCTCCTGCTCCTGCTCCTCCTCACCCCCTCCTCCTCCTATTCCTGCTCCTCCTCCCCCTCCTCCTCCGCCTGCCCCGCGCCGCTGCCCTTGATCGCACCTCTCACGCGGTTCGTGGCACCGTGGGGAGCTCCGCAGAAGGCACCAGTGGCAAGGCCCGTATGGCGGCCCCGCATTTGGGCGCACCCCTCACACGGTTTGCGGCCCCATGGGGGGCTCCACCGAATGCCCCAGTGGCAGGGTTCGCATGGTTGCACCGCATCTGGGCGCACCCCTCACACGGTTCGTGGCATCATGTGGGGTTCTACCTGAGTCGAGCGGCAGGGTTCGCATGGTGGCCCCGCCCCATTTGAGCGCGCCCCTCACACGGTTCGTGGCACATGGGGAGTTCCTTTTGCTTCGCCCCACCTGCCTTGCGGTGGTAGGATACTTTTAACATCTACCCAGGGTTATTTATCTGAACAGTTCTAGGCATTAGCCTTGCACACGCCATGCTATTTACATGGCAGCTGGCTCTGGCTCGGGCGCTAAACGAGCTTGCCAGTACATCTGATCGTACGGGTCGCAGATGGTGACGATCTCGAGCCAGAGCTCCACCATCTTGCCAGGCGTAACATTGGACATCTCGTTCGGTAACTTGATCATGTCACCCCTGGGGATCATTGCGTCCTTGGGCCGCGTGTCCTTCACGATGCGAAGCTCTGCTACGCCGTTCTCCGCGGCGGTGCCAATCGCTCGACAGCGCAGCTTGGGCAGGTCTGCCACCCACCGCTCTCCGAGCTGCCAGGTGGGCGGGGCTGCCAGGATGCGGTGGCGCGCGGCGCGGCATGGCAGCGTGATGCGCTGAGTCGCCTTCAAGGGAACTCAACACATTCCAAGAACACCGTCGGTGTTCTTCAAGCCGCGACGCCCGTCGCCGCATCTAGGGAGCCTCGCGGGTAGCCGCCTCCACGAGGCGCACCGAGTCCAAAGTTGCAGCAGCAGCAGCGCCAGGGCCGCCAGCATCATCGATAGAAATCGTAACTGGCGCGGCTGTGCCAGAACCCCTCGCCTCGGCGACAAGGCGCCGCACTATGCGGGGACGGAGTTCACGTGGCAACTTCGCGGCAACACGCCCCACGAACAAACGTTCCTCTCGAAGGCTCATCCTGGGAGCCACCTCGTCGACTGCGATGCTCTGAAGGCGCGCAGGAGCGAGACGCCGATGGGCAAGGCACCGCGAGCGCCGACTAGGACCCCATTGCGCCGATGACGCCTGTCCTCTAAAAAGCTATGGGGTCCTACCGACGCCAACGTTGCCGCTGCTATCGGAATGTCACCCTTGCGCCCCCTGATGGGGCCCTGCTGCTTGCGCAGCTCCTTGTTCACGTCGTTGGAGAGCACGTAGTAGCGCATCCGCTCGAGCCTCCTGTCGAGCTCCTTGTCGGCGTCGCGGCAGCGGCGGCTACGTTTTTCGAGGTGGCTGATCTCCTCGTCGACCTCCTCGTACTGTCGGAGCATCCCCTGCAGCTCTAGTACTGCAGCATTAGTACTGGACTTAAGCCGCTTGGCTTTGAAACGGCACAGTTCGAGCATGCAATCATGATCGTATTTGCTAGCCAAGTCCAGGAGCCACTGCTCGTGGCTGGACATCGGCTCGGGCCAAAATGGCTTCGGCGAAGGCCCAGAGTCCCCCCCACGCGCAATCAAGCAGCGGCTTGCCTCTGGAGCGGAAACTGCGAGCGGTGCTGCAACCGAGGTCTGCGACAAAACCGAGGTCGCACTGTGCATTTCGCACCGCATGCCCAAAATTGAAAACCCAATGTTAAAGATCATTCTGAATGATCTTTAACATTGGGTTTTCAATTTTGGGTGTAAGAGTTCAACATCGCTCACATGCGTTGAACCTACCAGTTGCGTGCGTTGGGATGAATTAAGCCTTTCGCCCCCGTGCGGAAAAACCTTTCATGCATGACGCATCGTATGCCCACATTGGGATGATACCGTCTTCCGGCCAGGGGTTTGTGTTCACATTTGGTTTTCGCCGTTTGGGGTGCAACATCGCCTCCATGCATTAAGCATTGTAACATATCAGCATCGCTCCCATGTGTTAAACCTATCGCTCCCGTGCATTGAACCAACCCTGTATTTCGCATCGTATACCCACATTGGGATGATACCATCTTCCGATCAGAGAATGATGTTTACATTGGGTGTTCGCCATTGGGCTTGGGGGTTTAACATCGCTCCCATTATGGAGTAAACCATTAGCGGCGCGCAGCCGCCGCGATCGCGCGCGCGCACGCGCGCGCGCGTTGAGGAGGTCTGCATTGTCCACAATAGAAAAGCTGACATGAATTTGTGAAAAATTAAATTTAATTTTTCTCTTGCTCTACAAGGAGGCCGACGGGCGCGTCGGCTTTATATTGTGGGCAATACAGAGCTCCGATGCGCGCGCGCTGGCGCTTCGCCTTGTGCATCTCGTATCGCATACCCAGATTGTGATGATCTCGTCTTCCGACCAGACAATGAATTTTTACGTTGGTTTTTCACAATTTGTCTGGGCGTTTAACACCGCTCCCATGCATTAAACCATCAGTGGCGCGCAGCCGACGTGTGCGCGCGCGAGTGCACGCGCGCGCGTTGAGGAGTTCTGTATGGTCCACAATACGAAAGCCGACATGAAATTCCCAAAACTGAATTTCAAATTTCTGTGTCTCTTATAGGAGGCCGACGGACGCGTCGGCTTTTCTATTGTCGTGGGTGATGCAGAACGCCGATGCGCGCGCGTATGCGCGCGCACGCGCGCGCGATGGCGCTCCGCATTGCGCATTTCGTATCGCATGTCCACATTGGGATGGCCCCGTCTTCCGATCAGAGAATGCATGTTTACATTGGGCTTTTTTAGTGTTGGTTTTATGTGGTGGCTCAACATCGCCCCCATGCATTAAACGTGCCAACGGCGCGCAGCCGCCGCGCGCGCGTCGGCGCGCGTTGAGGAGTTCTGTACTGCCCACAATAGACAGGCGGACATGTAATTCACAAGAATGAACTCAAAGTTTCTGTGGCACTTTAAGGAGGCCGACGGGCGCGTCAACTTTTCTGTCATGTACATTAGAGAACGCCGATGCGCGCGCGTTGGCGCGCGTGCGCGCGCGCTGGCGCTTCGCATCGTGTAATTCGTATGGCATGCCCACATTGCACTGGGATGGTCGTCTTCCGATCAGAGAATGCATTTTCACATTGGGATTTCACCATTGGGTTTGGGGGGTTCAACATCGCTCCCATGCATTAAACCTACCAGCGGCGCGCAGCCGCCGCGTGCACGCGCGCGCGTAGGCTTGCGCGCGCGTTGAGGAGTTTTGCGTTGTCCACAATCAATAGGAAAGCCGACATGTAATTCCCAAGCCTGAATTCAAGATGTCTCTTGCCCTTCATGGAGGCAGACGGGCGCGTTGGCTCTTCTATTGTGGACGATGCAGAACGCAGATGCGCGCGCGTTGGCGCGCGCGCGCTGGTGGCTTCGCATTGTGCGTTTCGCATCGTTATAGCCACATTGCAATGATTCTACCTTCCGATCAGAGAATGAAGTTCCACATTGGGGTTTAACTTTTGGGTTTGGGAGTCCGACATCGCACCCCATGCATTACACCTATCAGCGGCGCGCTGCAGCCGCGTGCGCGCGCGCGCGTTGAAGAGTTTTGTAGTGCCCACAATAGAAAAGCCGACGTGGAATTCCCAAAACTGAATTTAAAATTTCTGTGGCTCTTCAAGGAGGCCGACGGGCGCGTGGACTGTTCTATTGCGGGCGATACAGAACTCCGACGCGCGCGCGTTGGCGCGCGTACGCGCGCGCTGGCGCTTCGCATTGTGTATCTCGTATCTTATAGCCACATTGTGGTGATCCCGTCTTCCGATCAGAGAATGAATTTTTACATTGGGTGTTCGCCATTCGGTTTGGGGTTCAACATCGCTCCTATGCGTTAAACCTATCAGCGGCGCGCGTGCGTTGATTTTGTAGTGTCCACAATAGAAAAGCCGACGTGGAATTTCCAAAACTGAATTTAAAATTTCTGTGGCTCTTTAAGGAGGCCGACGGACGCGTCGACTTTTCTATTGTGTACACTACAGAGCGCCGATGCGCGTGCGTTGGCGCGCGTGCGCGCGCGCTGGCGCTTTGCATTGTGTATTTCGTATGGCATGCCCGCATTGGGATGATCCCGTCTTCCGATCAGAGACTGAATTTTTACATTTGGGTTTCACCATTAGTTTTGGGGGTTCAGCATCGCTTGCATGCGTTCAACCGATCAGCGGCGCTCCTGGATGGCGGGCGCACAGGGGCGTGCGCCTTTGTGCATCTGGCAAGAAAAGCTCCGTTGCGCGCGCGGCGCGTCGAGCTTCCAAGCGCGCCCACCTTTCTGCGATGCCATGGCGCGCGTCAATCGGGCGAGCGCGTCTGCGGCTGCCATTCGGCCCCGAGTGCAATTGCGCGCAGACGCGCGCTATATTGCGGCGTCAGCGTTCTTCTGCGGGCGCGCGCGCTCGGACGTATCAGGGCGCCGCCAGCTTGCCGGCAGGGGCCGCGCGTTGTTGTGGGCTCGAATGGGGCGCGCGCGGAGCGCGCAGGCTGGGGCCGCGCCTTCTGGCACGGGCGCATTCGAGCGCGCGCGTGGACGGCGGCAGTTCGGCGCGCTCCTCGGCGCGCGCGGGGGCGCGCGCTCTTGAGCGATCTCGCGCGCGCTCTATGGCGCGCGCGCTCGGGCGAGCGGCGGTGCGTTTTTATCGCGCATTCAGCGGCGCGCAAGCTTGCGCGCGCGCCCAGGATGCATTTCGAGCGCGCTGGGGCGACTGCGCGCGCGACTAAGGCTAAGAAAAGATAGGCAGCGTGCTTTCGCGCGCAACCGCGCCTGCAGGCGCGGTTGCCTCTGCGCGCGCGGTGGGCGCTCGACGCGGGCGCCCCCGAGGTCGCGCGCTCGGATGGGCGCCCGCAGGGGGCAAGGTCGCTCGCGCGCGGCCCTGGGCGCTCAATGGCATTAACGCGCGAGCAGTTCGAATCGGCGCACTAGGGCGCTTCTTGGATTTGTCGAGGGTCGCGCGCCTGTAACAAACCGGCTGGCCCTATGCGCGTTCAGTCGCGCGCTTGAGCGCGCCGCAGGAGGCGCGCGCTTCTGGGCGCCTCTCGAACGCGCCGCCCCAGCGTAGCAGCTTGGGCGGCCAAGGTCTTGGTGGGCGGATGAAGCTTGAGAAGCGTTGGCTGGGCTATGCTGCGTGATCATTCGGGGGCGCGCGCAGTGCGTAAGCCACAATCGCGCCCAGGGGTTGACAGTTGCACAATTCGTTGCGTGCGCGGCGTGGTGGCGTTCATGCGCGTGTAACGTAGCGCGAAACGTTTAGCAACTGCTGGCGCATGTCTGCGCTGGTGGGCGGCGGGGTAATTCGCGCGACTGCCGCGATGGCGATATCATCTCTTCAGCGCTTGTTCGGTAACGTTTGCGTTTGTTGTTGAATGGCTTTTGTTTGGCGACGTGCTTTCGAACGCACGCGCTGCGACCTTAGGAGGTACTGCGCGCTCCTGTCTGACATCTAAAGGCATGACAAACGTCGGGCGGTGCATCAATCAGCATGTGTGTCTGTGCGTTCCTGGTGATGTCGTTGGTCTGGTCCTACCTCACAGAATTCGAGATCGTGCTATCATGCTGTTCGCTCGGGTGTCTTTTGGCACATATCTATATAATCGAAACGAGCACTGGGTAGTCTGCGCGCGTTTCAGGGCAATGGATTGGAATTTCTTTGGGAGCGGCAAAAAAAAAACATCGTTCTGGGCCTGTGCGTGGGTTGGGAGAAGGGGTGTGATGGGGCGCTGATCAGTTTGTGCGTGGGGGCACGTGCCTAGCAGAATTGTGAGTTTCATGTGCGCTGCGGGTGGTACAAAAGGCGTAGTATTGTTTAGGCGCTTTGGTAGTTTGTTGAATTTTCGTCCGCGTGTAAGTTTTTGTTTCAGGAATAAAATTCGGCATCCTGGGTAGTCGAGGCCATTGTCGGAATCCAAATGTTTGCTTGTTCAATCCGTTGCGCGCAGGCCCAGAGGAAATTGGACAACCTCCGCAAGTTAGTTGCAGTCCGAAACAAGAATATCGCGCCCGAGGCGCTCTGATGCAATCCGTGTGTAATTTTACCGAAAAGATGTTTTACGTGATTTTTCGAAACGTTTTAACACGCGTTTCGCACACATTGGCTTGAACGTTTTGGCTTCCGCTGTCTATTTCAAACCCTATGGTGTACCATGTATTAACGTTTGCAGCTGGCGGTGTCAAGTTATACGTTTCCCATAACTCTGTGCGTGATGTTGCTGGCGTTTCTATATCCGCCGCTGTTTCCAACCAGGCCGCTGGGGAAGCCCGTCGATGTTTAACCGTTAGCTCGAAAACAAGCAACATGCTAACGTAGTTTAAAGAAGTCTGGCTTTCAGATCACGTGTTTCTGTTTTGGCGCACTAGAACAAAACCCATTTCGAACTATTTCCGCGGGGCGCCCAGGTCTTGATTTGCCGGAGAGAATCCCGCAAACAATGTTTGCTAAAATCTGTGTCGGGTGATCCGGACACTGTAGCAGTGGTGATTTGTTTTGAATGCCAGTCCCTCAGAGGAAGACCA